CCCAAGGGAAAACAAGGACCAATGGTCATAAACTCCTCCAAGACTATTTTAGGCGGGACATAAGAAAAAATGTCTTTACTGTCTGAGCCCCTGTCTTAGAATGAACTACTGGGTTCAGCAGATTCTTCACGCTTGAACAAAGGACGTACTCATGGTTGTTTTTACTCTTGCAAAGCTTTATTTAAGGATACTTGCAGAAGCAGGTGATAAAACAGAGCAGAGAGGACAGTCACCTCATCAGCTTTAGGCAGCAGCTGCTACTCCGCATGGTTTTCTTGGCCCTGGAGTGTTCTGATCTCGGGAATGCAATAGCCTGTGCTGGGCCTCTGCGCAAGTTGGAACTCTTGCCAGAGTGGAGGAACCCATAGCAACTCAAGAATGCACAGCTTATATAGTCTGAAGCAAACAACGTTATCTCAAGCTAGGAAAATGGGGATGAGTTGTGATCTAACGCACTTGGTGTTTGCTACATTCTCTTGTATCACAATATTCTGCTATCTAGGTTTATGGCTGGGTCACACTCACAGAGCAGGAGGCTATGTGCCGCTGCACTGGAATCAGCATGCAAAACTCTTGCTTTTAGCACAGCGTGCAAAACTCTTGCTCTTAGCAAGCCTCTTACTATTACAGCCCCCAAGACCTGGAATAGATTCCCTCCAGAAGTGGTGCAGGCACCTACTCTGGACTCATTCAAGAAACACTTAATGTTTATCTTGCTGGGATCTTTTGACCCTACCTGACTTCCTGCCCCTGGGGCAGGGGGCTGGACTTGATCTTTAAGGTCCCTTCCAGTCCTAAGGTCTATGAAATCTATGAAGTTTCTTTATGGGGCTCTGCCACCCCTTAACACCCACCTGTACCATGTCAGATTTGCTTGTACAAGTTTCCAGATCTCAAACCCACATCACAATCACAGTCCTTTATAGAGGGTTCTTTTATTAAAAAAAAATACAACAGAAAACACCCCAGACAATTCTTAATTCTGTTCTCTTCCCTTTTACTTGCCGTGTTATGACGTAACAGCTTGTGCACAGTTTCCTTCCTAATCCTAGTTTTGAGGAAGAAATCAAAATCTTCAACATTAAACATTTAAAGTAACTACAGGATTAAGTTACATGTGATGCGTCTCAGCTGCAACCTATTCTGGTTTTAGCTTTTGGCTTTTGAATTTATAAGTCATGTTGGCTAAATGGTGAAAAGTTCTATTGTTTTGCTTGTTTCTCTCTTTCATTTTAGCTTTGTGTGGTTCCAGTTCCTTGTATTAGATAATAGTGGGTTTCTGTTGAGGCTTGTCATCAATCTCATTTTTTCCAGTCTCTCTGACATCTCTTTCAGCTTCCTTAAATTTAATGTCTCTCTTCAGAGTTTCTTGTTTTGTAAAGAGATCAGAAGTCTTTCTGTGCTCAGTGCAAATTTCAGCTTATTAGTTGTGCATGTATATATATCATGATATAGGAGTCTTCTTGAGGGTCCTCCAAACTCACCAGAAAGTATTAAGTATTGATACACATTTCTTAAAATGATCAACCCTGAGATGTGTTGATTATGGGAGAACTGCTTTCAGCTTCCCCAGTACGTTTTAAGATGTTGTTAGGTGTTGACTGACTTTCAAAGGGAGGCTTAAATAATGTGCTGAGTATTCTGTTAATACATTATTTCGAATCATAGACTCATTGAAAACTAGGGTTGGAAGGGTAGTCTAACCCCCTGCTCAAAGCAGGACCAGCCTCAGTTAGATCATCCCAGCCACGGCTTTGTCTCACTGGGTCTTACAGATCTCCAAGGATGGAGAATCCACAACTTCGCTGGGTAACCTGTTCCAGTGTTATACTACCTTCCTAGTGTTACAGTTTTCCTGATATCTAACCTAAACTTCCCTTACTGCAACTTAAGACCATTGCTCCTTGTTCTGTCATCTGCCACCACTGAGAACAGTCCAGCTCCATCCTCTTTGGAATCACCCTTCAGGTAGTTGAAGGCTGCTGTTAAATTCCCCGTCTTCTCTTTTCCAGACTAAATAAACCCAGTTCCCTCAGCCTGTTCTCAGAAGTCGTGTGCCCCAGCCCCCTCACCATTTTCATTGCCTTCCACTGGACTCTTTCCAGTTTGTCCAGATCTTTTCTGTAGTGGGGAGCCTGAAAACTGGACACAGTACTCCAGATGTAGCTTCACCAGTGCCAAATAGAGGGGAATAATCATTTCTCTCTGTCTGCTGGCAGTGCTCCTACTAATGCAGCCCAGTATGCCATTAGACTTCTTTGCAAAAAGAGTACACTGTTGGATCATATTTAGCTTGCTATCCACTGTAACCCTCAAGTCCTTGTCTGCAGAGCTGCTGCTTAGCCAGTTGGTCTTTAGGCTATACTGGTATATGGGATTGTTCTATCATAAGTGCAGGACTTTGCACTCGCATTTCATTTTTTTGCTGTCTGCACAAATGGCAGAGAAATCTTTGTTATACTCGTCTATATTCTTGGCTGTCATCTCTGTCAGACTGGATTGTCTGTGGGGTTTTTTCAGCTGTAGATTAGCAACAGTATATTTTGAATGTATTTGGGCCTGTGTTGGGCAAGGGGCTGGGACTGCCCTGCCACAGTAAAGATCGGGCCACTCTTGGTTCCCCCACAATCTATCCCTGGTACTCCCAACATCCTGCAAGTTGAGGTTGCAAGTGTGTTTGGAACTCTTCCCAAAAACTTTGCTGCCCAAGTTGTAGAGTCACTTCTCTTGTTTTATAAACTATTGTGCATTAATGTAAATATTGTTTTTCCCCTTTCTTTTCGCAGTTGAATCTAGTAGTGAATCTGATTTCAGATTTTTCTTGAAGAATATGTACAAAAGTAGATGTAATGACTTGATAACAACCTGCCTTTCAGTATTTTTTATAGCATCAATATAATTTGAAACATTCGTGCACACATGCATATGTATGTACAGGAAGGAAAATGGAAACTAGTTTTTTTAATGAAATGGCTGAAGGGTTGCTAGAAGATCTAAAACATAGACTTAAATTAGTTTCATGACACTACAACCAAATGTCTTCAGCGTTCTGCTTTCAATGGTACATTCGGTCTGGAAGAATATAGTGAAAACAATTTTTTTAATTTTGAGATTGGCCTGAATCCTTTCTCTTGCTAATTATCTACTGATCAAAATATTTCATATTTGTATTGTACTTCAAAATAATTATGTATGATATAGTTTCATTAGTTTGTTCAGTTTGTTTGTCAATTATCTACCATTTCAAAATGTTACTTCTCTACTTTTACTGTGCATGTTTAGGAATGGGCATATCACAAAGACAGTATTCAGAAAGAATAATAAAATCATAGAAATGTAGGATGGAATGGCATATCAATATACTCTTATCCTTCCTCCTGCAATTAGGTAGGTTCAGTATGCCTAAACACAGGGGCAGATCCAGGATTTTACAAAGGTGTGGGAATTGTATCCAGCACTGTAGGTATGGTGACACCCCATCTCCCAGCCTTCTCTCTCCCCTCCCCCATGGGGTGGGCAGACCATGCCATGTGAGGAGCTGTGGGAGACTTCTTTTTAAATCCCGAAGAAAGTAAAATTTCCCCCCCTCCGCAATAATACTTCACCTTTCTCTGCATCATCTGTTCAAGCAAGCTTGCTCTCTAAGCAAGGCTTGGACCTAGCCTTTATGTGCAGAAGTAGAGAGCATCAGAATTGAAAATGATGGGCACAAGTGACAAGCAGGATGATGATGAAATCTACAGTGATAGGGAAGAGAACTAGTGAATAGAGCTTGAAGGGATAAGGGGGATAAGACCTGTATCTTAGCCATTTTGAACTTCAGATGATGACTCAGACTGTGATTTAGTTTGGGCGTAAGGCAGCAGGTCTGGAGTAGAGAAGAACATGTATGAAAGATCAAAGAAATGGTAGGTGAATTTGCACTTGCATCCAAGATTACTCAAAGACTATGTGTAGAGGTAGAAGAAACAGACCAAAATTAGAGCATGGTGTGACCTCTGCAGAAAGGAGGAACCGATAAAGAAGTACTGGAAGAACTCTGATACGTCAAAGAAGAGCCAAGAGGATATGGAGACATGAAAGCCAAGGGGGGCTAAGACTCCCAAGAGGAGTGCTGAAAGTGGCTGACGGGGTTAAGAAATACAAGGATGGGACTAGTTGTTCTGAGTTTTGGCTAAGAGGTCATTTGAGGACTGTGTCAAGAACACTTTTAGTGGACTGCAAAGAGAAGTTTTGCAAATGGAATGCAAATGGAAAAGAGGACTTTTAGAATAGCACATTGAATGAACTTGAAAGGGAGATGGGGTAGGGATGATAGAGAGGCAAGTGGGGCCAAGAATGGGTGTCTTAAGATGTCAGGGGTTAAAGCAATTTTCATTGTAAGGGAGAAAGAAGAGACAGGAAAATGGGATGTAAGAATGAAGAGAAACTTGATGATTGTATTGCTTTGCTTTTAGCTTTTTAAACATAACTAGCCTTGTTCATTCATAGATTTAAATCTGATGCCTAATGTACCTTATGTAAAACTTTCAAATGTTTTCCACATAAATGTTTTCAAATGACATTTTCAAAAATGTAAAAACAGAAAACCTACCACCATGAATTTACTTGGCTTCTTTGAAGATTTTTTTGTTTTTTAACACCCTGAAATGTCTGGTCACTTACATTCATGACAGATCTTGTTTTAGAATTATTTTTAGCAGAAACTTTTAAAATGTAAATTAAAATACGTTTTTCTTGTTAAGTTCTCTGTTGTTAATGCTGTGCTTGCTTTTTTTTAAAATTAGGAATCCAAAACATGATTTTTTTTTTTTTTTTTTTTGACATGGTCACTTTTTAGATTCCTTGTGATTTTATTTATTACAATTGTTTTTGTTTTGGAAGAGAGGTATTAAAATTCCTTTATAGATTATATTTTATCTTATACTTTATATTGTGTCTTGAGGTTTTTGGTAGAGGTATTAATATTATTTCTTTTGATATTGTTCTTCATACACTAGATTCACACCTTAGTTGAAAGTTTGAAGCTTTCCATCACTGATCAGCAGCTTCCTATGTTCATACGCATAATGCAGCTTGGGATTGCTCTTTACTATGGAGAAATAGGAAGTTTTAAAGACGGAGAAAATGAAGATTTGGTTTGTCACACTAAAGATATATTGGGAAACATCTCAGGTAATTGTAACCATTTGTTTTGAAAGCTTTTGGTTTATTTTTTGGTCAATACTAACTCTTTTGGTGTGTTTTGGCAATCTGTATTGTGATAGTCAACTTATTGTGTGGGGTAAGTTACGCAATACTCCAACATCTTTTTTTGTGTTATGTTGAGAAAGCTATATTGATGGCCCTAACAAAACTGGTTAGGGTTTCTAGATAAAGTTTGTTTTGGGAGTTGTGGAGTAGTATGGGAGTTCAGACTTTGTGCAGCAGGAGGCTTGTTAGACAATTCTCAGTTTTTTCTTTCATTCTACAAAATGGTTAATGAACCCTGATGTGCACGTTAGTGTTCTATAAATAAATATTTTGCATGGTGTTTTCTCTAGTTTCTGTGTTTTTGTAGTATTCTTTCTGCTGTTGTTTATTTTGTGAGATAGTATATTCTATGCTTTATGGTTTGTTGACATAATATATCCTAATTACACCTCAGTGCAAACTAATAAATGATTTTTTAAGTACTATAAATAGGTCTTAAAAGAAACAGCAGACAGACAAGACTCAAGTTATCATATATGTCTGAAATCATGTACTTCTATTCAGTCACTTAGTCAGAAACCATATGCTACTGAATGCTCAAGTACCAGTCTGAAATCTTAGCAATGTCCTGGAGTAGTGGGGAGAGAGAAGGTAAAGATGAAGTTTGTACCAAGTTGAATTCTAAATTCTGTTCTTTCTTTAATTTTATTTTCTCAAGAAATAGTCTTGCAATGTATCTTTAGTACTAAAGTTTTGTGTCTGCCACACAGTCAAGAGTACTTTATAACAGCTTTCAGAAGATTCTTGGAATTTCATGTGAATGTGCTTTGGTAATGTTACCTCCTGTTGTCTGTTAGAATCATGCAGTAGTTTAAAGCTTTTGGTATGAATTATCAGTAATTCATTTTTTTTCCTGAATGAAAGTATTACTGTGTTAGTTTAAGTAGCTTAACACAAAGATTTTGATGATGTATTATTGTTTGCTCTGTGGTTTCAGGGAAATAACGTTGGAAAAATGTGGGTAGTGGAAACTTACTTGCCAGAAATATAGCTTTTAGTGTTGGCTGGCACAGATAACAATGTCTTATGACAGTTGTACAGTTCACTGTCATGTGCCTGCAGTCTGGGACTGAGCAAATAAGCCGTCTCTTAGAGTTGAAAGTAAGGGTCTTACATTTCTTTTCTAAAGCTGAAATACTAGTCTGCAATTTAAATTCTCTCTCTTATGAGAAATGCAGAAAGACATATTGTTCAGATTTAATTGAATTAATATTGTAAAAATATTAATTCAGTTAATTTTTGCATATTGTTACAAAGTATAATCTTAGATCTAGAATACTGCTTAAACTTCTCTTTTAGCATTCATTTTAGTAGATGAGATGATGGCTCAACGATAAAGGTTGTTCCAACCAAGTAATTAAGTAAGTGTTTGGGTGAGAAGGGCTTCTTATTCCCTTGAAGCAAGGGTGCTCAGCATCTGGCCCATGGGCCAAATGCAGCTTGTGGAGCCTTTGGGACGTCTGATCCATGGGACTCCGCATGGGTTGGGAAATTTGGCGGCAGGGGACCTGTAGTAGTTAATGCTTTCATCCCTCTCTGCTGCCAAAATTCCAAGCTCTATGGGAGGGCTCGGAGTTGAGCCACTACCCACCCCTGCAACAGCCAGATAAGAGCTGAGCCATGTCCCCTTCCCTCTGCACAGTCAGGTTGGAGCTGGACTGTTCCCCCTTCTCTGCCTGGCTCCCTCTATGGCTGGTTTGGGGCTGTGCCATGCTCCCCATCCCCCACCCCTTGCCATAGGGCTGGCCAATGACCCCTTCCCTCTGCCTGGCCAGGTTGGGCCCGGGTCATGCCCCTTTTCTCCCGCAGGGCTAGATCAGAGCCAGCTCATGGCCCCTCCCCTCTGTGGTGTCTGGTTGGGGTCAGGCCCAGTCCCCTTCCACTGTGTGGCTGGATTGGAGCTGGGCTGCCTGCCTCCCCTTTCTCCTCTTCTCTGCACAGCCTGATGGGGCCCTGCCGGATCTGGTCCACAGAGGGTTCAGGCACTGGCCATTCAGCCTGCTGGCCACCACTGCTCTGAAGCAGTTGGAGATGGAAGAACTATTTGAGCTCCTTTTTAAATAAAGTAGGCAAACTCAGAATATAGATAGAAGTACTAATTGTATCAGTATTAAATGATACTGATATAACTGTCATGATGTAGCTGTTATGTCCACATGCTTCTATAGAACTACAAATGTACATTGCAACTTTAACACTATTTCAGTATTAAAATTACCATGAGTTAAAGCAGTTAGAAAGTATGTTTGTCCACAGCCTTGGTCTCTTTTCCCTTTTTCTCCCATACTTTGTATTTTGTGGCTGTCTTATGTGATAAACTTAGTGTGGCCCGAAGTGATTTCCTTGAGCATGCTCTACAAGGATGGAGAATTGGAGACAGGTGGGGGGACAGGGGCACAGATGATGTGGAAAGGGTTGGTCTTGGAGTAAATAGTCAGAAGGGTCTGTGCCCCCTAGAACTCTCACTTCCAGAGTCTGGAATGAAACACATGATTCTTGAATCTTTTCAATTGTCTTTCAGATACGAGTGAAACATACTGTCATTGTGTTTTTCATCCTTCTTTCTCATACTGACCCATATAGAGGATGAGAACCTACCATATTTTCTCACATGCAACACACCCTGGAATAAATTATGCCCTTTTTTTTTGGAAAGGTAGAATTTTTCTAGAGTTATGGCTGCATGCAGAAAGGACAGAGCTAAAAGGTCTGCAAAGCTCTGAAATAGGTGGAGAGAGATGAGAAATGGCTGGCAGACAGCAGAATTGCTAGAAGAAAGGTAGGTTGATTAGTAGAACATCAAGGCCATTTAAAAGGAGATTCATTGTTAACACCCCTGGGGCCAGAACAATGAAGCATTGAGTCGGGTGATTCCCTCAGCTGCCTGAAAAAAAATATACTACTGCTGCTGGGCAGTTGGTTTGGAGCAGGAATTAAAGTGGGGTACAGAAAATCAGCTTTCCCACTTGAGCCACATGGTATTATTGCTGTCAGTTATTTTACAGATGGGAAACCAAAGCACAAAAAGTAAGGTCAAGGGTATGGATATTAGGACATTATTTTTAGAACACTTTGCATTGTGGTATGCATGAATTTTGTATGTTCACAGTACAGGTATCATTGATTTTGTTTGCAGCTATGACTGTCCAGCCTGTTTGTATATCATACCCCAGGGTCTCAAGGCAGGCATTTGGAAAAAGCAGAACATGCAGTTAGAAGCTGCATGAAAAGCATTTGGTTTTAATGGCTTGCATAGCATCCCTTAGCTAGAAACTGCCTCTGTGGCATAGGCAAAGATACAGTCCAACTCCCCATGTCACCAATCAAGAGCCTCAACTGTGAGACCATCCTTTCTCCTCCTGCCTCATTCATTACGTTTCTTCCAACTTCTGCAACAAATTATATATGGATTCTACAGACAAATGTCTCCTTTACTTTGATTCATCCCAGAGGACATTCAGTACGTGCAGTAGATGAAGCTGGTGTCCTGCTGGAAAAATAGAACATAATATTTGTAATTAAAGACTATATCATAATTAATATTCACAAGGATACTGAATTAACAATACAATCAACCTTAATTTTGTAGGCAATTTGGTATTTTATAATTTTTGAGTCTTTGACTTGGCCACATTCATATTCTTTTAATGTACATTTGTGAATATGTGTAATATGGTGTATACATTTTTTTTGGTCTGGAAGTTAATGCTTTGGAAAGCTGTTCCTGGGATGAATGTTTAGGACTTGCCTTCCTTCAGTTTGTATGGATAAGAAAGTATCCTCAAGGTACTCTTGGATATATAGGTTCCTTGAAACAGTTCCTCGGAAAAAAAACAGTTTTGCACCTTCTTGTATTCATATACCCAGGGAACTTTCTGGGTTGGAATTATGTAAGGGTGTAAATTTAACCTGTTTGGCTTAATCACAATAGAGAGCAAGTAATTAATATGAAAAGGCAAAACTGAATGTGCTGAAACTCTAGAGTTTTAAGTCTGTTTTGGGCTCTGGAGTTGGGCTCCTTGCCTAAGACATTTTGAAAAATTATTGCAATAAGATAACATTTTAATGCCAAATACATCAGGATCTACTTAGTTTTCCTTCATCTTGGTCTTTTTGGGCTCCAGGATTTATTTGCTTTTACATCAGTGGATTCGGACACTTGATATAATCATCCTCAGTCCAAAGTGTGTTGCTCAAAAAGCTTTGGCACTTTTACCCAGCATACCAGTGGGCTGAATTGGTCTTGCACAAAGATGTTTCACATTAAATAAATCTATTTGTTGTCAAGTTTTTTTGAGCTTGTAAGTGACCTCCTGGGCCACTGAGTAGAGTTTGCAAGTGACTTCCTAGGCCACTGAGGACAGTTTCCTGCATTTGCAGGCAATCATTAACCAAAAGAATCTTAAAAATTGGCCTCACAGACCCTCACTCACATTTACAAGGAACATTATCCAAAATGCTTAGAACACCCCATAACATGCCATAGGCAGAAGCAGGAGAGCTGAGAGCATAGCCAGTGTCTTGTTACTATAATGATCTGAGAGCAGTTGGTTAGAAGTAGCAAGACCTTCAGCCAGGAACCAGTACAACCATAAATGTCAGTGTACCCTAGCTAAAATTCCCCAGTCTTAGCTGTGGACAAAATCCTAATGCCTCAGGAGAAAGTGAAAAAGCTCTTTAGAACCCAGCAACATACATACAGGGGGAAGAAATCTTTCCTGCCTCAGCTGTTGTGGCAGTGTAGCCTGGCCCCTTCCCTACTGTCTACCTCGAGGTGCATGTGCCAAGCAAAATGCCTTTGCATGCCACACTGACACATATGCTGGGGGTTGCAGACCCCTGCACTAACTGGTGTGCCCAAACTTCCTCTTCTCTTATAGAGTTCCATCCATAAACGTATCCAAGTCAGTATTAAAGAGATA